CAACTTTTCCATTTTTAGCGCAACAATTGCAGCTAGACCTGGTAATGAAAAACGATACACGTGCCTAGAATATTGACTATACAGTGATTTGAAGAGCTTTATCTACTGGTCAGCGGAATTACTCCAGAATGATTACAGATGATAGAAGGACATCATTTGCACATCTTTTGCATAATCTGCACCACCATTTAAACCCTCTAGATTGCAAAACATTGAAATTTTGCTGAATAAGATGAAAGTTGTCTTTTCTTAAGATTGGCTAGATCTCACTTAAGACGTGTATATATTAATTGACTTGTAACTTCCCCCTGAAAATAAAACTGTCTCGGAAGCGTTGCAAAAGGTATAATTTTATCCTACTATAAAATGCATCTCATGGTGCAACGAAACCGCTACGCGGTTGAAGCCAAGATCAAGGGTGTTACTAACGGGTTATACTGTTGCTAAGGTAACCTATTATGCCGTAAAGAGTATCATTATCAGTTTTATTAATGGCCGGGCGTTTGTGTGATACCAATATTGTAGCATCACTTGATAAAGACTGGTAGTATTTATTCCTTCCCTTTGCCTTTACCAGACTTGTTATTGGCTGATTGCAAATAATTAACAATGACTGGACGGGGTTGAGCCAAATATCGTGATTTGTCAGTGGCGAGCAGATCCATTATTTGCCGAAGCCGATCTGTGAGACACTGACAAATCACGTTATTTTGCGATAGCAAAGTTGAATAACTTTTTTATCATTCGATCACCAAGTTTGATATCATATTTAAATCACTCTCTGACGGGTTAGCGAAGCCATTTGCCATTTTTCATTCGAGCTTGGTGACAATTATGTATTAGCAGAATATTATTTGCATTTAGACGTTATTACAAATGTGCAGACCATTATTTGTAGGCATTTATTTGCAGCTCACGTTTTGGGCTCTTGGCCAATGAATAGGAAGAAAAAATGCATCGAATAATAATTTGAATTATCTAGTCACAAGAATTGATAAAATGGTCTCGCAAATTTATGGCCAGCCTCATACGGTACTCGCTAAGTATAACAGTCTTTTTTTCGGAAAGACTCATTCAAACCTCCTAAGAGTACTTACTCTATGTTTATTTAACAAATAAAGAAGCCTAAGCCGTGTATTACATCGTGATAAAAGACGACGGGTATTTGAGAACACGAGGGAAATGTAGAAAACGCGAGGCATGTAGCACTTTAGAGGTATTAAATTGCGTCAGTTTGTCGATCTGTGTGCTTTGTTGTTTTTACTCATGGCGTGTGAAATCTATATCACAAAGCAAATGACGGAGCCTAAGCCGTGTGTTACACTGTGATAAAACACTCCGGACCGCAGGCGAGTGTTTCCTACATTTCTCGAGTGTTTTCAAATGGCCGGGGAGTTTTATCACAGTGTAATACACATTTTAGGCGTCTTCATTTGCTTTATGATACAGATTTTACAAGCCGCGAGTAGAAACAACAAAGCACACAGATCGATAAACTGACGCAATTTAATACCACTAAAGTGCTACATGCCTCGTCTTCAAAACTTTCTGCTGTTTCGTAGAGAACTCCATCAGGAATTTCTTGAAAGAAAATGTTTTTCGCCATCTCTAACAAAAATGTTGACTAGAGGTAATGTGGAGAAAAACAATAAAACACGCTTTTTCTATGTTTTATACTCTGATAAAACATCGATTTTTGACCAATCAGAGCGCGCGCAGGGTCCCATCTATATTATATTAGTATAAATCTACTAGCGTTCTATCTGGAATGCCGTTCACTGATGGCTACGCTACTCACTATCTATTCTGTGATAGATAGTGAGTAGCGTAGCAGTGTGCCCTTGATAAAAAAATGAGGGCCGCTTTTGGCGTTTTCGAAGTGTCTGTAAAGAGGATTTAGATAAAGTTTGAATGACTGGTAGATTTATACTAAAACAATTAGATTATTCGCTCTCGATTTCTATGCTTGATAGTTGACTCGAGCTGCGCCCTCGTCAACTATCACGGTTTCGGTTTTGCAGTGGACGAATCTTCTGAGCGTGGACACACTAATAGACACTCAGCATGAGAGCGTAGTGATTTTTTATAGTATGCTCAAGCTCGGGGAATTCGTCAACTAGAAAACCAATATGATTTTTGGAATCACTTGGCATTTACTAAGAAACATCGAAAGGTTTCAATAAGAGTTTCCGTAGAAAATCTATGAAAGTGTATGAGTGTGGGGCATTAATAAAAAATCTTTTGTTTCAGAGCTGTCTTGAGAACCGCCCAGGCGGATTTTGATGGAATTCACACAGGACAATGTAAGAATGCTTCACTGGTAATGTTTGAAGCAAATCTGAGTACTGACACATATCAAAAATCTTGTGGGACATAAGACCGTAAGCAAATGATTTGCCAACCACCAGAGTGAATTTTTGGCGCACGTGATCTGAAATGACGACAATGTTTATTAACAAGGTACATCTTTATTGTACAGTACTAAACAGTCGAACAGTCGAGGTCTACAATTCAGGTGATTATATCGTGAAACAACAACAACAACAACAACAACAACAACAACAACAAAACAACAATTTACTTTATTGTTGTTCCCAGTTACAAGATGAACGATAACCTACTCTTTCACAACAACTTGATACCATAACCCCCGTGAGTAAAATAATAGCATTTCATTCCTTTTACATAATAGTTCTTTCTTAGTTTTCCAGTACATTACAACTCTGCAACTACAGTTATCCGGAGTATTCTGACACTGTACGGCCGTTCAGGTCCTGAATGGGCCTGAAGTTGTCACACATGGAGTGCTTCTCTGGGTTGTGAAGTTTTCTAAAAGCATCAAACTGAAAGCAGAATATGTCTTTTGTTAAAAGTAACCCTAATGATTTTGTGGTTTATTGATACTTAGTTATGAATATAGAACAAAATGAATTATAGAAAAGCGAGTGATAACAAAGTACGGGAACGAACTGACGAAAACAACAACAAAAGGAAATTTCAAAATGGGGTGAGCGGAAGCGTGAGGTCGGTTTGAAATTACGAGCACGATTACTCCATGAATTGTACGACACGAGATCCAATTACTAATTAATCATATCTATAACAAATTTCGGAGTTAAAAATGTCTTTTGAGAAATTCTTTAGAGAGAAAATGTCTGTAGCTCTTTTCATAAGTTTTGAAAACTGGAGGAATCATTGCAAAGGAAGCCATTAAAGCGCGCGTAATTAAAGTGCGAATCACGTGGGTATCCAATAACAGATAGCCAGTTATAAACAGTTCAAATTGGATACCTGTAATTGGATACCCACCCGCGTGATCGCGCGCAGACTACGTAACAAATAGTCGCGCGGAGAACCAATCATGATAGAGAATTTTGTTATAGATACGATTAAATGAGAAATCGGCTGCAATTGAACAGTTACTAGAGAAATCGCGGAGAATTTGACTGATAATTTAGATCCAGACTCTCGTAATACATTACCATAAATAAAAGAATCCCTTACATCGTTTTGACAAGCAGGAATTGGGTCTTTTAGGACAATCCAATTGACTGACTGGTAACAGAAAGGGGTGGTAAGAGATCCCTTGTACGAGTAGAAAGATGTTCGTGACAGATCTTTCAGCTGAGGCACCAAGTCGAGCAAAGACAATCCCCGCACTGGAGTGTGTTTACCTGTAAGACAATATTTTTGGAAAATAACTGTATTCACTAAGAACATTTCCATTCTGCATGTTGATTCGTGACAACTGTTACTTGCTGTTAATTAATTGTTGATAATGTCTATAAATAATAAGAAGATCACGGCATTGGGAGCAGTTCCATTCAGCGACGCCAGAGGAATACACAGTTAATAAGTCATATACGTTTGTTTTGTTTTGTTTTGTTTGTTTGTCAGGCAGAGTAGGCGGTAAGCCATGTAACACCCCATGTAACCAAGTCTCGTGTTCAAACCTTACCAGTCTGCTTTATATTATTCAGTTTGTGCCTGGGAAAACCAAGATTTTCTTTTTGATTTTTCTGTTAAATGAAAACAAAACTTGATCATTAACGTTTTTGAAACAACTTTCTGATCAAGAGCAAGTGGTCAAAAAACAACTGGATTTGAATGAATGGAAATTAAAACTAACACATATCCTTGAACTGTGTTGGTATAAAAGAGATCAGGTTGAGGAAGTCTTTTTTTTGTCCTTACGACTAATAAAAATAACAAGAAATATCATTTGAAAACAAACCTCATTCTACACACCTGGATGAATACGCCAATCACAGCGAGTCCATCATCTTTACTTGCAGCAGCACCAAAATTGGGGTACTTCGTGTTATAAGTCACCAAATGAAGCTAAAAGGATTCAAACAGATATAAACAGCGTGGCGTCCAAACAGCAGATGAATAGTAGTCAAGGAAAAAGCTAAAAACTAAGTTATTATTCGTTATATTGGACATTTACGCTTTCTTCGAGACTATATGTGACAAATTATCCATAAGATCACAACATGAAAGCTAACAAGTTACTGTAGAAATAGGGTTCCAGCAAAATTTGAGATCCTTGCCACTTCGACAATGACACGTCATGATTTTGATTACTGTGCTACATAAAGGTTTGGTTTGGCTGAGGCAAGGTGGAATCCAAAAACCACACCTTGCAGTTTAACTGTTTTAGCATATTGAAGCTGTGATGTCACGTCACATTTCTGAGATAAACAGTTAATACAGTCACCCCTCATCGCTCTTGAGCGGTTAACTTCTCACAAAAGCCAAATAGGCTGAGAGAAATGAGGGCCGGCTAACCTCGCAGGCTACACTGAAGTTCGAAAATAATAAATTCTTGGGTTGAATTCAGCGAATTAAAATTGCGATGAAAAATCTGATACCTCTCCTGAAGCTGGTTTGCCGTTCACAGTATGTTCAGATCCTCTGCTGTCTACGCAACCAAAATGAAAATGAAGCTGCTCTAGCTTATACACACTACTTCCCAAGGGTCCCCCGGTGAGTGTAGCAGTTCCTCCAGGTTTGTTGATTTTTAAGGTGGGAGCATGGCCATTGTTGCTTAGATCACCGCTGACCTTTCCGTCTGCGTTACCACAGGTAAACTGGAGTCCTTTCAGATCTGAGTTCTTCTTTACCGTGCTTGTTCGAATATTTATTGGAGACTGAGCGGTCTCGGCACAGTGTGGATAAACCTCTTTCCAGTCTTCTGGGCCATAAACTAACACGAAAAACGATCAACGTTAACAGGTTGACCTGTTATAAGTGCCCTTAATTAAATCTTGCTTAATGAGTCTCTTTGTTCTACCCATGCGATCTAAGCCATACCGATAACTAAATCGATAGCACGACCTCGCTTTTATTAGTAATACCACGACTTTACGAAAGCGCGAAATTAAGATCCAATAATGTTATCACAGCTAAGAAGAACTCTTTTCGATCTCTCAGAGCGATTCATTTATCCTCACCGAATCTTTGTTCTTGGCTACCACCTTGTTGTATACTGTCGCTTTAACTCCTTAATTTTTTACTAAGAAGGACATAAAATCAGAGGTACCGTACCAGTTTCCCCGTAATACCACGGCGGTCCTATAAAGATGGAGAGACAACACATGTTACTAAGGGACATTTCCTTTGTTGTACAAGCCTAAGTCCGGTTAAGGACTGATCAACAACTTTTAACAAGAGCTTATCAAGGTACCTTGATAATCTCTTGCTTTTAATCAATTCTAGCCGTTATTTTATTTTTCTCTGTTGCTTGAAACGACATGGCAGTGACATTACAAGAGTTTAAATCCGACTACAGGCCTTGGGGCCAATCACCCCAGTTTTTATCTCCAGTTTTCATCGCTGTCAAACCCTCAGTTGTTTTTTCGGCTTGTTCAGTCAATTCACAGTTACCAATTTGCACACCTGGTTGGAGAGAGGCAGTGTGTAGAGTCAAGTGTCTTGCCTAACAACATAACATGATGACCCTGGTCAGGGCCGCCTGTCGATTCGAACTCAAACACACTAACCGCAAAACCATCGCCTCTCACGCATCCAAATGAGAACATTCAAAACAGCGGATCGTAAATTCTGACAATTTTCTCGGTCAGACCAAGGTACTCTTCTTGAATGGCGNTAGACTATTTTTCAAGTTCTTCGTTGTTGTACGTAGGTACGCTCTTCGTCCTCGGATTTTGAACGTCGTTCCGATCTCGACCTTTTGAGCTCGACTTTTGGAAAAGCCTTCATTCCAGCTAATCGGAAATGTAAGGCATATTTTGGCCTCTAAATATTTCTGTCTCAAAGTACACTTTTTAAGGCACGAATCATAAATACACTTCTGCAAAAAAGAGGAGAAATATATAAACGAGGTAACTTGCATTTCCATTTTTTTCAGTTTATACATAAGGACGAAAACGACATATCTTAATCCACTTAATTTTTCAAATGGACTTTATCGAGCAGGGGAAGATGATGGATTCGCCTCTCCCTGGAAGTGTTCGTTCCTGTTATATGTGTGGTTCAGCGATATTAATCAAGAGAAAGACTGAGACTTTGAGTGTGGTTACGTAAACACAGAAACTGAACAGCAATGGTCTTGGAGTGGTTGTTTGTTTTCCATACATTTTAACTGTCACCTAAGAAATGACGCGCTTTTAAACTGATAGCTGAAAAATGGGCTGAAATCTTCACTGATAGCTGAGAAATAGGCAAAAATTTAAGAGCTTCAAACACCCCCATGCACGCCCATTGGTTGGCTAACAGCGCGTGGGTGGATGTTTTAATTCAATGAACTTTGTGGTTCGTGTAAACTTGCACTTCAACATGATAAAGACGAAATACAGCAAAATGTTTTGAGTTTTCCATAACCTTCTAAAGATGTTAATATATGGAAACAGTGTTAACTTGGTAGAAGATAAGCAAGATTGCAATCAGTAAAGGAAAAAGTACTATTAAGTAAGACGAATATAACGTAGAAACTTGAAATGACAACGATACGATATAGTTCAAACTGAAATCCAAGATGCATATGGTGGTCAGCCGTGTGGACCTGGTTGGGTCTCGTCAGCATGGTGTAGCAGGAAACAGTAAAGTACTTAGCACGGGCGCCACATGCACATGGTAATTAGCATTCAAAAGCTATCTTTATGTTAAAACTTATATTATAGTTATGTACCATTTGCACTGACGTAGACACAAGTGTTTGCTGAAACATCATTGTCGCGTTATGCAATATATCAAACACGAGAGACAGTGTTTCATCGGGATATCCAAACACCGAGAAGAGAGTTGAAAATACGATGCGGAGCGGAGTATTTTGGACGAAATTCGAAGTGTTTAGATAGCCGATGAAACACTGTCTCGAGTGTTTGATATGTCTTCTCAATCGCAACAAAAACTAAGCAGTAAACGGAGAAGTAAAATCGTCAAACTCGTCAAAACCTCCTTCACGGTTGTGATTTTCTCTGTTTTAGCTTGACGAATTATTAATGAATTTGAGAAGTTTAAAACGAAACGTTTTCGTATATTTTTTCATAACGAATCTATTAGATTCATTCATGACTACCAAGGAACTCCATTTGTTTTCAGAAAATGTCAAGGCCTTCGAAAAAAGTGTGAATATTTTTATTCTTATTTGGTGGCCGTGATTAAGGCGTCATCTAAAACTAGAGGAGAATGGAGCGAGCACAACAAATGCAGAATCAACGTTTATTTTCTTCTTGGAAAAGGACACTGCGAGCATAAGCTTCTGATGTGTCCCCCACGAAGATGAAATTAAAACTCTCCCGAACTTCGAAGTTGCTTGGATACTTCAGAAAAGATTTTGAACTCTCTCCTTCCGTTTTCGTGAACTTATCCTGCAAATAACGTTAGGAAATTGATGTCGCTCCTCCTAATACATCATGTTAGTCATCTCATTTATTTACTGATTTAGAAAAGAAAATCTTACACAGCACAATTAAACGTACCTGCATTTGGATAATTTTAAAATGAAACGCTAACATACACACATAAATACATATTGCGTAAAGCGTTGCGTCATACGTGAATGTCAGGACATTCCTTTAATTTGCACTTGTAGAAAATCATTGAAAACAAGCCAGATCGCGGTCATCGTAAACTCCAACATTTTCAAAACGGAGTGAGAGATGAAACTAATTTTTTTTTAGCAGACAGACTGTGCTTAATAATTTTGGTTATTTTTTATAAATTTTACCACGCAAGACAGATGATGAATCCACCCTCTTTCATATCCTTACCTCTTCAGTTACAGTGGCTATGATCGGCGAAGGAAGCTTCTAAAATATCCCTCAAGATTATATTAACACAATGGAATAACAACAGAGAATTCAGCGCATTTCAAGTCAGATATTCTTGACAATGAAAACGCCTACTGGTTAGCTTAATGATATAACAAGACAATTTTACGTGTGGTATTTAATTTAACAAGCCTTTTGTTTTGTCGACATTTGCATCTCAATAAAGCGAGCGGTAAAGGCTGTAATGCCGAGGAGAAAAATTGAATGATCACTCCGTAGAGACGTGTCACTTTCAAAATATTGGAACATTTCCAGTGGTTAAACTGTGTTTTCTTTTTGTTCGTTTGTTCTGAATAAGATGTCACTGATGAGAATATTTATCATCGTCAATTAGTTAGTTTTCTGTTTGCTCTTGGTTTTTGTTCTACTTTTATAAACGTTTGATCCCCTCGGGGATGGGCGGGGGGGGTGGGGGGTGGGTAACTCCATATAAAAGGGTAGGGATTTCACAAGTTGAGGAATATGAAAGGGTCGGGAAATCTGTCATTTAGTTAAAAGGGCCTTTAATTAAAATATTTCGAATAGACGCACTTTATGGCTGTTTCATTCATTTATTAAGCGCTATATGGAAATGACAAGAAGATTTCCTTTTTGGCGATTTAAACATAATAGGATGTGAAAGGAGTGCCATTTTTCATTTAAAGGTATATCGGAAAGGGGTTCCTTTTTCTGTCAAAATGGTATACAAAATGGTAAGGGGTTGGACCTCGGAGCGGAGCCTCCCCGTATAAAACTTTGCAGAGTACCCCCCGGATTTTATCCGACAACGTAATTATCAAATCGTGCGCTAAGCTCCGGTACCTGGAGTTAGAAGGAAATTCCAAGTCATATGCTGAGTTCAAAGACCACTCGGGTGTAAAAGCTAATCAAGGTATAGAATCAAGGTTACTAAGCAACTCTACTTCTTTGAAGACGCCATAATGGGAATTTAATTTAATTATTTTACATTTGAATAATAAATGATCGAAAGACGGTGGACTTGTCCAGTAATTGTGAATAGTCGCACGCAAGAAAACGAATGTTGTCAATGTTGTTTTCAAAATTATTTGCGGGAATAAAGATCATCTTTTTTTTCACAGACCGCGTGAACTCCCGTTTTAAATAGCTCTGTATCTAAAAAACACACTCGAAAGGGTTTTATTTCGCAAGTGCTTCAGTTGCTAAGGTGCATTAAATTGCACCCTTTGTGTTAATCTATGTAGTCACCGGTTGGGTTTAGTGGGATCTCTCGCTGGGAGTCTGTTCGCAGGCTATAACCTATCACTCTAACAAATGGTTAACATACATTCAGCGGTCCCTTTTGCGGAGAAGACTTCCAAAAGGCGAGCGACAAGAACTTGTTTCTTACCTACGAATCACCAAAACTGTTTTGGGTCCTTCGAAAGTTTTGGGGTGTAAATATAACAACAGAATCTCACAGAGGGTGAATGAGTATGAGTGTCTCCCACAACGACCAACCGTGAAACATTGATTTTGTGTTTCAACAAAGTACAGTAAAACCCTACCTTACGGTCACCTCATTAATACGGACACCTCGCTATAACGGCTGTCTTTTTTGTCTCGGCGAAACGCCCATACGTTTTCTTCTATGAAAACCCCGTTAATACGGTACCCCGTTAACACGACCAGCGGTCACATTCTGAAATCCTAACATGTATTTATTCAACCTGCGTTTCCTAACTTTATTATTGCCTTTTCTGTCCGACTAGTTGGGTGATACTAAAACAATTAGACCCTTCGCTCTCAAGGGCCTTGGGTCAATAGCCCATTCGGCTTCGCCTCATGGGTCTAATTTGGCTACGGGTCTAATTGTTAAATATATACTGAACAGACGCACGGCAACATGGAAGCTGTTTGTTATCTCGATAGAAACACGGTACATGTTTTCTGTTTCTTAAATATACTGAATATACTGATTCAAGTTT